ACACACACACACACATGCACGCACGCGCACACACAGACACACGCGCGCATACACACACACACACACACACACACACACACACACACACACACACACACACGCGCACACACACACACACACACACACAATTCTTCTGGAGCCCAGGGCCTGCCTATCCAGGCATGACTGCTGCGTCCCTCGCCTGATAGTGTTCCTCAGCTCCTCTCTGTCCCGCAAGCCCCAGAGCAGAGCCAGCCAGTGGTGGGATGGGCGCACGGTGCTTGCCAGTCAGTTACCGGTACTCCTGGGACCAAGGACAGGTGTGGCCTCTCCTTACCTGCATGGGCCGGGAGTACATGTTGGTGAGCACCTCTTTCCGGGCCAGAGAGTACTTGTCATCTCCAAATGTTTTGGTCAGGCTTTTCTAGAAGTAAACCCCAGAAACCTGTATAAGATATGGTCGGGCTTGGGAAGAGGATGAGGCTTCACCTGCTAACCACCCTATCCTGAGTTTGGGGAGGGTAGAGAGGGGTTCCCAGGCTATGGGCCCAGCCTTGGGTTGATGACTACCCACGGGGCACAAAAGCAGCGGTTCCCTAGCCAGTGGCACACAATGGGCCTGAGATCTCCAAGCTTAGCAGGCAGGCCAACTCTCTTGACTAGAGGAATCCTCTGCCCCCCCCCCCCAATCTTGGAGCATAGGTGTGAGGTCTCCTTTTTGTGGGATGAGTCGCAACACTGCTTCTGCAAACCCCTAAAGCTTAGCGCCAAGAAGGGTGCACTTGAAGCGACTTCCTCTAAGAAAAATTCCTTGTTTCCAGTCAGCCCAGCTCAGCAAGGACTAATCCAGTCCTTGCTAAAGGACAGGCCATTGGCTACACTGTGAGCAGCCTCCCTTGGTCCGGACCAGATAATAGAGCTTTCCCTAGCTGGAGCCATCCTCCCCACTGTGGGGAGACCTGGATGAAGAGGGGGGACTACACAGGACACAGCAGGCACCCCCCCGCCCCCGACTTCCAGGATTCTCCAAGCTCTTTTCTCCAAGTGGGGCTTCATCACCCGCCCACAAAGCACTTACATTGAGGGCCCCTGCGGAGCTGACATCCATGGGGAGCCCCATCTGGTCACAGAACTCCACCAGGTCACTGAGCATCTTTGTCTGTGGCGGTGGGTGCCGGCGCAGCAGGGCCTGCTCCGGGAAGGTGCGGAAGATCTTGTGGGCCACGGCCATGTTGGCCAGGAGCATGAACTCCTCTACAAGCCTGTGGGGGAGGGGGAGTAAGTAGAGGGACCCTGGAGGCAGGTGACACTGCCTCTGTCCTAAGATCTCTGCTCAGCTGGTTCTCCTACACCTTAGTTCTCAGTGTAAGAACTTCTTGTGACGCTGACCAAACTTGTTCCTTCTAGCTCTTTCTCTTTCATCTCCATACTCAGGTCCTCCCAGAGTCAGCCTGTCAATAATGATTTTGTCTTTTGGTCTGTGAATGTGTGTGTGGTCTCCTTGCTAAATGATAGTACTCCTGGGGAACAGTGACAAAAGATGTCTCATTTCCCACCGAAGGGAGGATGCTCTCAGGTCATACCTAGTCCAGAGGTGGTGCATAGTAAAGATCTCTAGTGGAAAGAGCGGCTGGGCTTCCTCTAGGACTCACTTGTAAGAAAAGCTATCATTCTAATTTTCCTTTACTTCAGTGTAATTAGAAATACTGTAAGTACATGTGGATAAGGATCAAAATAGGCAGATGAAAACATGTCAAGGCCCTATTGGGGAGAAGCAGGGACTGGTGGAAGATGGAGGAAGTGTGCCAAGACCAGGAAACCGGGCAAAGCAGGAGTTAGCATCAGCCAGCCGTGAGGTCAGTCACCTGTGTTCCAATCCTGGGCAGGGCACACACTGTTCTCCCCTGACCTCAGGGCTCGGGTAAGTGGACTGAACATGAGGCCTTTCAGGAAGGGAGTGTGCGTCCTACTGTAGTTAGGATGTTCTGTGTAGAGAAAGCTTGCTCCCTGGAGAGGCAAGGGCCATTAGAGACCTTGTTCAGCTTAGAGGAGAGTCCCCAAGGCTGCATGTCAAGGCTGTGCTTCTCCCACAGAGGGAACTCCATGGGTTTGGCAGTGTCTGAGGAGGCCTGGGATAAACTTCTCTATTAGAAGCTGAGTAGTGTTGCTTGGTCAGACCTGTTATCTAAACAAGCTCTTAGAAGGAAAGTCGGACATAGAATGGAAGAACCGCTCCCATGCCCTGACTGGACCTGCTATGAAGAATCTTTCCTCTGCTCTGCCAAGGCGCAAGGGCTAGCTAAATACCTCAGCAGTGTAGTCCCCACCAGGTGGGGCCTAGGCATGCCTGGCTCCTGTTTTGGGTACCTGGGCATACCTCTGTCATGGGGACCTTAGTTAACTCTTTCATTATGCAGCAGACCCAGCTCAAGAAGAGAAGCCTTTGTATTGCCCAGTAGTTTGTAGCCAGAGTGTTCTAGGCAGTCACCCGGCTTCCCAGTACCCAATCTGTCCTTATGCTTATTAGTGCTTGTTGATCACCATCCCTGACCACCAAGGCTCTGAGACACAGTTTGAACACTGGTTCTACCACACTCTTGTTGTGGGACTCCAGTGAATTACAGACCTCTCCCAATCTTCCTTCCCAAAGTAAGACCGTGTAATATCTGATCACAGGCAGGGCTGGTGCAAAGGCAGACAGAGGGAACGTGTGTTCTGGGTCGGATAAAGGCAGGAATATCAATTGCCCAAGACACAGTGGTGCTTTCATTTCTTCCTATCCACCACACAAATGGCTAATACGTTAATTAATGATAATTCCTTTCCCTGTCTCAGCCTCCAGAGTGTTGGGATGCTCAGGCTGTTACTCAACTGCTCCCATGTTAGTGAATGCATCTGCTCATCAGGCATTGCTGTGGGGGCCAGCATGTGTCCAGACCTTTTCTCTTCATGCAGTCCCAGAATCCTGTGGACCAGAGCACACAGTCTGTTCCTTGTAACCTCAGGGCTGAGCCATGATTGCAGTTTATAAGTGAAGCCGGCAGGTGGCAGTAGGGCCCCACACCAGGGCTGTGAGGACATGGCAGGCAGGCAGGCAGGATCAGTAGAGGGCTGGACTAGTGGCTCAGATGGGGACCCTCCCTGCCCCGACCTAGAGGTCAGAGGATATCCTGGGATGAGCCTGACTCCTGCTTTGCTACTCATGAGCTCATATAGGGACAAGGACAAAAACACAGAGAAGGATGGGGTGAAAGAGGGACCACTATGGGAAACAGGCACTAACAGACTCCAGACAAGCTGCTTCCCCAGTGACCATAACCCACTACTTATCTTCCCTGGACATCTGCTAAATACCATAGGCTACCCAAGGCCTTGAAAAAAGAAGTGCATGGTTAACCCTGATCACAGTCTGCTGTGGCTCTGGACACACAGGCTGCCCTTGGTACCTGTGGATTCCATTTCCGTTAGCAGCCCTCGTCCATCTGTCCATCTTTTCTCTGTCCACCCATCTGTCCTTCCTTTACTCTCTCCCTCCGAGTTAAGACATCAGCCTATGAACCCTCCACAACAGTTTAGCAAGATCAGAGCATAAACCTAAACAGGGCTACCGAACAGGAAGATGGCACAGAGGTAAGTTCCCATTCTCACCACTGTTCCAGGGTGGCTATGGGAACCATTTCCCCATACCTTGCCCTTAAAAATCCGTCCACACCTGCAGGTGAAAGGGGAAGGGGCAAACCTGTGCACACCACAAAGGGCTTGGCAGATGCTCGGCCCCGGAGCCCCATCACTCCCAGGAGCCCCAGGAGCGGTAAGATGGTCCCCAGTGGAATTTTAGAACTGTCAGGCTTAGATATGGCTAAACCACCAGCAACCAGAGCTCCACTGAGCTCAAGACTCCCTGCGGGCCAGTCACCCCATGGAGGGATGCGCAGAGACCCTTGACTGCTGCACCTGTCTACCCTGGGCAATTCTCACTGTGACCAGCAGAGGGCCCCCAGAATCTTCTGTCCCAGGTCCTGGGACTTGGCAAGATCCGCTTAGAACCCAAGAACTTCTGGGCAAGAACAGCCCCAGAGTTCACATATTGTGGCTCTGTAGCCCAATGTCGGGGGTTCCTGGAGTCCCAGTGACTGTTTCTTTCTTAGCCAAACCCTCTGGGCCGAGGGATCTGTGCAAACGGGTGCGATGATAGCCTCTGACCAGAGAGCTCATCAATTTGACGTATTCTCTCCTGGGGGGAAGGGGTGATGCCGCATACTTGAGCTCTCAGCTGATACCCTGCGCTATCCCAGGGCAGATGAACCAGGCTGGAGTACGTGAGGGCATGGGACTGGGAAAGTGGCTGAGGGCTGTCTGGGTTGCCATGGCTTAGACTCTCCTTCTGGTCTGAGCACCTGCCTTCAGTCTTAGGACACCTCCTCCCCCAGTGACAGCATCACATAGGCATGAGATCACTCAGCCCCGCTGGGGATGGGGAGCTGGGGCCCAGCAACCGCCTGACAACTGCTCTAAATAAGGGCTCAGGAATGGCTGCCAGCCAGGATCACCTTCCAGAACAGCAAGCCAAGCCCTCAGAGATGGGGCCTCTGCCCCAGGCCTGGCATCTGCTGAGCATCTGGAGCCCTGAGCCACTAGGGCCCCACAACTCTGGAGGTCTTGAGTGGGATTGTGCTGTGACAGAAAGGACAGAAAGCTGTGAGTCAGGACATCAGGGTGAAAGCTCACCCACCTCATTCACAGCATCCCCTACCTGCTGTCAAGGCTCACAAGGCCTGGTGAGAGACAGGGCAGGTTTGCAGCTTCTCACCTCAGGGAATAACTAACTGAGGCAGGGTTCCATCTCATAGCAAGCAACAAACAACCTACATATAAGTACACACCACAGATGCACATTCCGTATCATAGAAAAGGCAACTTCACCCAGACCTGTACCCACACCACTTAAAGAGAAAGGTCAGATATTTCTTATTACATGCGTCTTCACCTTCAGAAGTGCGTGTGCTCAGCACAACTTACGAGAGACAGCACCCCACCACCTGAGGACCTGAACTAGGATATGTTGGTTTGTTTGCATCCTAAAAGTACTTATTATTTAAGGTTTACTTATAAAAGTTTGCTTGTTTTGAGATAGGGTCTTCTCTATGTAGCCCAGGCTGGCTTGAAATTTGTGGTCCTCCTGCCTCAGCTTCCCGAAGACTGGGATTATCAGTGTGAATCACCATGTCTGACAGAGATCAGAGAATGGTTAGGTGAGAAGCAGGCCTCTGAGGAAGGATGCAGTGTATGAAGTCCCTGGCCTTAAATAAGTGCTGCGCAGACTATGGTGTGTGTACCCTGCCCTGGACCTTGATCCTCTTGTCTAGGCAACTGCTCTGTTAAAAGCTTCTTTTTCCTACAGCCACAGGGTATGTAAGACTCCGCCAAGGGTTCCATTCTAGGATTTGGGGTAGATTTCCAGAAGCTTCCCTGGCTCTTCCACCACAGTGTCATCACCTCTGTCCTGGCTTTCGTCTCCTGCCACTTTGTTCCTTCACACCACATTGCATCACTCTTCTCCCCACTCCAGCCCCCTCTGGCCCTCCTCGTGCTCTGAGGCCCTTTTGGTTCCTCCGTGCCCAGAGCCCAGAGTCCAGGTGTGTTAGGCCACTCCCATCTCTTTTCTTTAGTTATCACTCAGTCTCGAGGATGGTGGGAGGAACTCTCTCCTAGCATCCTGGGGTCCCCATCATAGCACCTGGCCTTCAGGACTGTGATGGCCCCGGGGTCCTAGGTTATATCTCGTGGCGCATGCTCCAGTCCCAGTGTGGACATTTGACAATGGCACAGAGTGAAGGACTCCCAGGGCAAACCCCATCCGGCTCCCGCTCAGGAGGCCGGACGACCAGGTCCCTATTATCAGTGCCCTTTCTGCTTAGTCCCCGGGGACGCCCTGATAGCCAGGCATGCTGATAACCTGAAGCCACCAAGTCTCCCCATCTTCCCACTACACCACTACCTGAACTACTGAATGTAAATGTAACTGTCTTATTAAATAAGAAACACAGAGCCAAATGCAGAGTTAAAAGCCCAAGAGGTCAGAGCAGCAGCTGAGAGCTGAGACAAAAACCGCCTTCTTCCTGCCGCTGCCATCCTTCCCCTCAGCAAGAGACCTACTTCCTGTGTGTCTGTCTTTTTATTGACTTTCTGTTCTGTCTTCTCATTGGTTGTAAACCCAACCACATGACCTCCTCATCACTGTCTGTCTATACAGACCTCCAGG